CGGCTCAATCGACGAGGCAACCGGCTGTCCGACGGAAAGTACGCCGGTCTTACGCGCGTACCGATCGCCGCTCTCGCCGACGTCGCCAGTGTTGTTGACGACGACGCCGACGTGATTGTCGTCGACGCTGACAACGTTGTTGTGGTCGTCAGAAACAAGATCAATAGGGAAAACACTGGTGGTAATGTTCAGCAGAGAGGGATGTTAAGATATCGCAGAGTGTTGCTCTTGTCGCATCGACTAGGACAGCAGCGACCGCCACCCCGTTTGGCCTGGGACACCCCGGCTGTTAGCGTCTCAGGTAAAGATAAAGACGTGCCACAACACCGAGACTGACTCTCAGTTTCGTGGTCCTTGAACCGAGTCGATGGTGTTCTTCTACTCGGGAGACCGCTGATCAGACTGCTCATGTAGGAACTGGGCTCCGAGGGTTGAGCCCCCACACACAGACAGGCTACATCATTGCACTGCTCAGTCTCGAATGTTGTTTGAGGGCCTTCCTTCATTCGTTCGTACCAATCGGATTCCATTCATAGATTCATAAGGCGATGATCACGTACTACTACTCAGTGCTCGAGAGGACGACGCGAGGTGGGAGCAGAAAAGAGCTCCTTCCAAGCTGATGTCCAAATCAAGAGGTTCATACGGCCTTGCGTAGGCACTGAATGTAGGATCGGTTCTTGTGCTCCTTCCTTCCACGCTCGTCGACCCGTTTCCGTGTCCATTTCGATGTTCTGCTTGTGGAACTTGGTAGGATGTGGTGGTCGTTTTGGTGTTGAGCACAAGGTGGGGAAGGACACAAGGGTTAAGGGAGCGAACGCTTAGGCCGCGTTGGTAATGCGTCTCGGTCCACTTTCCCTACTGGATTCTTTTTGTCTTTCTGATTCTCATGTGTGTATTCAAGCAGAAGTTAGAGAAAGCTTAAATTAGACTCGTGAAATCAAAATATAGTAGGGAACGACGGAGAACTCAGAGAAACCAAAATTTGAACTCAGTGTAACTGGGCGCAGGTTGCCAGGTCACTTGCCTTGAACTTTCCACGAAACAAACCAAGGGTCAAAACCCCTTGGACTCAGTCTTTCCGTTCCTTTATCAAAACCTCATTCGCTTTTTCGCTTACAAGATGATGTACTCAAGGGGCTGACTGGAAGGAAGTTGGTGCTCAAGGAAGGAACTTAGGTGGTATGGTGAGGAATGCTTGATCAGTGTTAGATTGCAAGTTATTATTTTTTTTTCCGTTCTTCATCAAGTTTTGTTTGTTGTGAAAAGATGCAGTTGTAGAAGAAGATTCGGTAAAAAGACCGGTGCAGGTTGAAACTGCTTGTTTGAATCACTGGTTTGGCGATTCTCGCTTGAGGTGAAAACAATCTCGTGTATTTTGTATGAGCGGTGTTTGTTCAGTTCTCTCATCTCATTTCAGTTGGTAGCGCTTGCTTGTCGAGTTTGTTTGTTTGTTTTCTTGTTTGATATTCGAGTACCTAGTTGATAGGTTTTTGAATTATTATTCATCTTGATAGAAGTTAGTCATAGGCTGCCCTTAGTGACAAAAGTAGAATTATCGGCTTCCCACTTCTGTCGATTTGTCATTTGCTTTCGTATTCACTTAGAATACCTTTTCGTAGACGTCGATGTTTTTGAACACGGTTGTCATTTCGTTCATTGACGTCTTACGTACTTATCTCTCACTCTTGTATGCTGTTCTTGGATGTTATAGTTGGCGTTAAATAATAGATTCAATCACTCAGGGGGTTGGTCGAGCGATACGGCATCACAGATGTTTGGATGAAGTACCGTACGTCGACCCGTCTAGTTGTTAGTGCGTCGATAAGCGTTGCCTTTGCGGAACTTGCGATTCGATTCGAGGTATCGATGGTCGAAAATCGACGCTTGCAAATAGGCGAGTGAGGTCTGGGAAGCCTCCGTGAGGCGAGTCCGTACCTAGTGAGCGGACTCTTGGCGAGTGGCGTTGAAACGAGAAATGCTTCGTACGTTCTTTTTCCTGTCTGGTTGGTATCGTCTTTCTTAATTTTTCCGTCCTATTCAGTCAGGGTACCGTCGATGTTTGACTACATCCTATCGTGCCGTTCAGCGGAACGCACACGGCACGACGGGACGCTTTCCCGAATTTTACGGTGATCTAAGTATATTCATTTGGAATACTCACTGCTTTTTGATGAATTTGATTCGTTATTACGGACCACTCGATGAATTCAGCATTCGATAAAATCGAATCATCGTAACAGACGCCTCTCTAGATAAGTCCTAGAGGATATCGGATCTCAAGTCGATTATCGTGGATAGTTCTGGATTTTTTCTGACATACGAAACACTTCACACGATTCAGGCAAAGCTGAGACGAGACTCCTGGCGGATCCATCTGAACGTTTTCGAGTGTTCGTCACCATAATTCGAAGGTTCATGATGGTCCATTTACACGAGTAGCTTCCCGTCGGCTCACAAAAGCTCAAGTTGCTTGCCGCCGGTCAACTTATGCACGGTCGACGTCGCTAGCCGAAGGCGATAGGCAGGCGCCGTTCATTGTATCGCTCTTTTCTCTTTTACTGTGGTGATACCCCGACGGTAGACATCAGTCAGGTGGTAATCTGGCTTTTTTCTTTGACTTCACGGCTTAAGGATGGTTGTTTCGGGTGTCCTGACAAACAGGAGTTCGTCACATTTGAGCTGGTTCTGCTTTAGTTTCAGGCATCCCCGGGTGCAGCGTCCGGCGTCGAATTTCAAATCTACATCGAGCGTTCTGACTGGACGACAGTGGTTTTCGTTCGTAGATCGACTTCATTCGATGAAATCACCGCATCGAAAACATTCACATTCTCCGAGCGAGGTCGGGGAGGAAAAATTTCAAGTGGCTCCCCTTGCCCACAATGGGGTCGCGCACGCTCCGATCTGGAGACAGCTACGCTTGAACTAGCGTTACCACCGTCGTGCCAGGCTTGCTAGAGTCGGGAGGAAGACGTGAACAATTTGGATAGACGGGAAGCGAAGTGAGCGACAACTCTGCCGAACGAACGAGAGCAATCCTCCCAAACTCCTCTCGAGATTGTCTCTCCTCCATGACAAATGACTTTTTCCCCGCTCTCACTACCGGAGCAGGGATGGAGTACTCCCTCAAAGCGCTCTCTGTGAGTTTACTTTCGCTTTGTGTTTTGAGGGTCAACGTCAGAGATTAGCATTTAGTCTTCCTCCGGGCTCTAGATCCGGGAAAAATCCTCAATTGATCGCCCTGTTCCCGCTACTTTCTTTTTCTTCCGGCTCCCCGGGGGAAGCCTCAGTTTAAGGGGCCGGATTCAGCATTTTCCGCACTATCGAATGCAATGAATGGTGAATAGTTGAATTGGTCAGCAGCGCGTCTATAATGCCTAGTCATGGCTCACCGCCTAACTGACCCGAGGAGCCTTGCTGTCTTTTTGTTGTTGTTGATGTCTTTGCTTTTATGAACGCCGACTCATTTCAGATACATCCATCTGGTATGTTGGCAGATAGAACTTCGATTATGAATGTATTCAATCTGGTCGGGTGTTCTTTCAAGGCTTCTTTATGATTCAACGGACACTGTCCGCCACTGTTCATCAGTCGCATCGTATGGCCTACGTAATTATGGTTCGATTGACTGTTACCCTCGAAACGAATTGGACTCTACAGTCAACGTCAAGACGTTTGTTTCCCAAGTTCGGAACAGAAGGATGCCGGGCGACACCGCGAACGATTGGTTCGGTTTTCTCAGCGTGTACATACAATCACGAGGCGTAAAAACATCGCGAGATGCTGACTTTGTATTGCGAGCTGGAGACTGTAGCGGTTGTAATAATGGTCGTGGCGAAAAAGGTAGAATCAGTTGCAGTTTCAGTAGTAGTTATAGAAGTCGTGTTCAGCGATAGTAGCTTGATGAGAAAGTGAACTAGTAAACTCGAAAAGCTCTTACAAATGATCACAATCGCTCGCTGAATTCTCAGATTCGGATCCATGGTGCGAGTCTTTCGCTCACACCACACTGTGTTCTCTCTTTCGCTATAAATCAGTGATCGTCAATCTTTTCAATTGAATTGCGCTCACTTTTCGATTTCAGACTTCTCATCGGAAAGATCGAAGTCTCAGTCCGTATCGATTATAATCAGACTCCGAATTTGGCGCTCCATAGAAAAATTCTCGTCTTAGACAAAGTGCAAAACGATGTCACAGATGTAAACTTTCCTGGTTCAGTGATGACTTGATACTCGCTGCTTGCGTATAACTGGATGGAAAAACCTACGGTGGTTGAAAAACACCGCCGCTGGCTAACTGGCAGGCCAGAACGATTCAAATGGCAGTAGAAAAAGGGCGCGTGATCATCTTCCATAATTGCTACTTTATCCATCATGCTGTCGTCGAACGACTCATGATGAGAATGGGGAGCAGAACAGGGAAATTAAATCTGGAACACTTCTTTCGTCAAATATTGATCCGATCAGTTTGATTTTGCCGCGGGTTCTCACTATCCAGCTAGGCTGTTTGTTCAATGAAATCCGAACGTTCGCTTTGGAAATTGAGTTTGCTCGGTCTATCGGGAATCGATCACAATCACTCGGTCCGGCATTCATTCAATGAATGAAAAAATGGATGGGTATCAATCGATCATTGATATCGACGACTACATCGATCGAAGATGGAAGAGTAGTTTGTTTTTCTGTTTGAATATTCCGCTTTGGACCGAATAGAGAATAGAGTCATCAGAAGCTCCCACTCCTACATCATCGTGAGGAAATTTTCATTCACTTTGATTGACTCATTCATTCGCATATCGATTTCCGCTCTCTCATGCATTCCCGAGACCAGAAGGAAAAAAAAACATCGCGCCTAGGGTCGAATGGTGAAACCTCTTTCGTCTAAGTTCTCGAATAATTGTTTCGGACACTGAACAGAGGCGAAAGCTAACGCAATCAATCATCGGTATGAGGGGTAGTATCGGTATGAAGCCGAATTTATCGATTATGGAGCCGAGTTTATCACGAGCACTTGCCCCAATAGCCGTTGGGCCGCCTGGTACCGAACTGGTGTCCACATTGAGTGGTAGCCATATGGCAGGCTCCGGGATGGCATGCTTGTAGAGACTGAGCGGCTCGCGGAGACGCCACACTGGGCATGGGTCCCAATTCGACATCGCTGCCGTCGTCTCTTGCCTTCATCTGGTTGGCATAGAAGTCGTACAATCGCGACAGGATAACAGTGGCCATAGCACTCCCGTGGTTGTTTTCAATTAGACGAAGCACGAACACTCCGTCCCAGCCGAGGTAATTGACAGCAATCTTTCGGCTCACTCTGGACAACTCGCCTAAGCTTACCATTCGCGTTCGCCACAGACAGAGGCGAACAAATGCGAACCGGTTGCAGCGGAAACACCTCCAGAGCCAGAGAAGAAGGGAGGCGACATTCAATGGTAATAGAAGAGCCAGATAAAACCATACCACAGAAAAGATTTTTTCGTTGAAAACGTTAATCGGTAAGACGCATCGGCACAAGTAGGTCCGGAGACCGCCTTGCAGAGCGGCGCGCACCTGACAGAGGGTTTGCAGAGGGAAGCGTGGTGAGTTCCACCAGTCCCCGTCTGCCGCTAGACGTCGTGCAAGTTCGAAGCCGTGTCGTAGGAAGCCTCGTCCCAAGAATGCGGTTAACAGCAGGAATTGAAAACCTACATTTAGAACGTACATCGATTTGACAAGCAGGTACAACAGACACAGGTAGCCGGCGGGCCCCCCGATGCAACGACACGCAAGGGGAAGTCCGCAGGCCGGGTCCGTGCAGCATCCTGCATTGCCGGCGACCAGAGTGTGGAACTGGTCGACGAATTCTGCCAAAAGGGCCTCCCTCTGCTGACAACCTGGTGGCAGGCTGGCGATATCTGAGGCTCTTTTCAGCAGGCGTCTGAGTTTGACGCCCGCACTGTGGGCACAGGCACCCCACAGGACGAATGGCAGATGGAAACAGGCTCCTTGAACGAGCAAGATCAGCGGTGCCCATTGATAGTAGCTGACAGAGACGCGCCTTAGACGCTCAGATGCGGCGGGTGGTGTTTCGAATCCCGCGTAATCCATCTCTTCTGGCTGCACCCTGGGATCGGGTGGTTCTCGTGGAGGATCGAGATTTTCATCGTCTGATTCCGTTACGAGGTAATATGTAGACGCAGTCCAGCAGTAGCTGTTGACGAATCTTGCTTGGGCATCGGTGAAGTACGTCGGCGTGAAGCATTCGATCGGATCACCAATATACTGCTTGGTAAAAATGGGCAACGCCAAGAACAGGAACATTACAAGAGTATACTTCCGGTTGAGTTTGTCCACTCCATCGTCAATGGGCACGTGGATGCCCCCGATAAGGTCATGGAAGCGGAACAGAAATGACATCTTGTGGCGCCCCGACTGGTTGTGATGGTGGTGGTGCGGTGGATGCGAAGAAGGATGATGTTCCTGCGTCGTCCTGCTGGCGAATAGGACGCCGCCTTACACACGCGCTGTCGCGGTTTCTGTTGTGGTGGTTGTTGTTGCTGTTGTCGAACTTCTGACAGCTGTACTTGTTGCTGCTGCTGTTGTTCTAGATGTCCGTTCAGGCAGTGCCGTTCCGCTGTTTCCTTATGAAACAGCTGTTGAAACGGCTTCCGTCGATGACCACAACAAATTGTATTCACTCCTTCTGCTTCTTTCAACACTGATTTTTTCACTCGTTGATGTTGTTGTTGTTGTTTGTTGACAAACAAACTGCAAACACTTTTTCTGTTGTTGCTGCTGATGTTCTTCTCGAAGATTTTTCCGTTGTTTTCCTTGATGATTATAAGGCTGCTTTCAACACTGCTGCTTTTGTTATCGCTGTTGTTGTTGTTGTTGAGGTCGATGATCTGATGACTGTTGCTCGTTGGTTGTTGCTGCTTGATGATGTTGTTGTTGTTGTTAATCCTAGAGATGTTGAGGTAATTGTCGTTGTTGTTTTCTTTGCTGCTGCTCAAGTATATCCGATTCTCTTCCGAAGTCGACCTCGTCAGAGGCCAGAGGCCTCCTCGGTCGCGGGTCGCTTTGGCGACCGCTGTTTCTGTTAGTTCTCCCTTGAGGAGCGAAGATTCTAATGTTGTTCTTAGTTCAGAATTTTCGATATTCGCTGAGTGATTTTCTGAGGTGGTATCACTCTGGACACAATGCCGTTTGCCGTCTTCTCGCTTATGAAGATCTCTGTGATTGGCGACGCTTTCACGTCGTTGGCAGTGGTTATAAAGTTGGTGGTGGAATTGGTGATGGTAATGGCGCTCGCTCCTTGGGGAGTCTGTGCTGTTTGGACTTTTTTCCAACCTCCCTGAAATGTCAAGGAGGCGCTGCGCGAGGGCCGACGCTCGCGGACGGCGAGTTGTCGGCTCGGCTCGCGGACGCCGAAGGCCCAAGGGCCCAACGATGCTCCTGCTGCCTGAAGCTGAGTGGCAAGTGAGCTTTTCTGTATATGGGGGCAACTTGAAAAGGCCTTCAAACTCAGGTTCGGTGGTGGGAAGGTCACTGGCCTCGCTCCTGGGTAAGGTGAGGTGCTGACTGATGCTAAGCGCGCTAGGATGATCCCGGGTAAGTACGCCTCTCGCGGTCTTCGGTTCACTCCTTTGCTCGACACTGGGGTGCATCTCCGGGGCTAGCATGGCACCTGCGGCGGGAAGAGAAGAAAATATTCATTAGTGCTTGGATTCTTACGCGTCCCACGCCTACTGTTCTGGAAGGCGCCCATCCTGCGGTCCCGGGGGTGACAGTAATTCCCTGCAGCTGGTAGTTCCCTTCGTCTAACTTCGCCCGGGAATTCGCCTCTTCTCAACTCCTCCGGAAGTGAACTCTCGAAGCGTCCGATGATGATACGTCGGCGGCGAGGCGCCTCGGGGTCCGGCCGCGAGTCCTTGCGTCGGCGCGTTAGCTACGCGAGCCAGCGAATTATAAAACTGCTGGCTACAGGAAAGTGCGAGCTGTGCCGAAAGGATGGAGGCTTTATGGGAGCACATATCGCTGCCAACCTTGCGAGCGGCATTGCGACCCTTAAAATTGTGGCTCACCCAGAGACCCGGGACTGCGCGGAAGCGCGCCGCTGTTTTCCAGGAACGTGCGTCATTTAGCAAAGTGGCTTTTTGGTCACACGTTCCATCTAGCTGCGTGCCGGTCGACCCGCCTCCCTGCCATGGCAGAAAGTCTGGGAAGCGAGCCAAGCAAGCAACGAGCCCACCTTCTAGGCTCACTCTCTGTCCGGACTGACAGGCTGCTTGGCAAGCTGGAGGGCAGACGGTTGGGCGGACGAACGAGCGAGCGAGCGCGATAATAAGAATGTCTACGTGACCTAAAAAGACAACCTTAAAGCCTGTCCCGTGTCATCATGGTCATCATCATTTCGTTCTCAACGTCATTGCAATACTCAGCGTCTTCGCGTCTCTGTCGTGCGCACGTTCAAATGCTCATTCTGCTTGCGATCAGCGTCTGCGAGGCAATCGGATTCAACCCTCGTGGAAAAACTTGACGAATAAAATCCATTTGCCTTGTCCTGCCGACGTGCGCCGCGCCGGCATGCATCCAGATATGTAGGACTCTTCCTCCGCGGATCGTCGTCTCGAATCGCGGTCGTGACGTCGCCGCGAGCACAAGGTCACCGGATCCCCATCCAGTTCGGGAAACTCCCCAAGCAAGGAATGAGCTCTGAACCGGGTTCGCCTGTATGGTCGATGGAGGCGAAGATTCTCGCCACTTTCCGACATTTGAGACGGCGCTCATAACCCGGAGCTTCTTTCCATAACCTTGACCGATACGTGCGCGCCGCAAGGACTCTCTCAGGAAGCTGTACGCTGGCTCCCTATTCGAGTGATCGAGCAGTGGATCGAGTGGGGAATTTGAGCCAGCGTCAGCGGTCAGGGAGCCGGCGGCGGCTCATCATCGTCGTCGCCCGCTCTTGATCCGGGATGTCGTCGCATCACATTAAAACTCGCAGCACTAGCAAGCGACCGGTGCCCACCCAGTCGCCCTCCAGCCGGCCTGCGGACGGGCGAGCGATCAAGTCACGAAGGAGAAGAAGGACGCGAGATATTCAGACGGAGTAATGGCCTCTGAGGTCCAGCGATCATTATCTGTCATAAATTGCATGCAGCATGCACGCCTCGATCGACTGGGGAACTTCTCGCCGGCCAATCGGTTTTTCCGACAGACGACATAGTGACCGACTGAGTCCGTGGTCGGCCGGGAGATCTCTGCTCTAATTTCGGGAATTCCCCGCGACTGGAACCGGGATTAAATGGCTCCAATCGACAAACGGCGGAAGACAATCGGGCTCGTGCTCGAGCCCCGGACCCGAGTGACGGCACAGTCTGCGTGGAACTGGATGGAGAAAACTCGAGAAGCACGCGATCTTCTTCGCTCAAGGACTCTGATCATCATCATCGGCGTAATCGTCGTCGTCGTCGTCATCATGGTCGCCGGCGGTGATCTGTCGATAAAGACCGCCAAGTCAGAGAAAAGGGAAAAGATGGAAATGATGCTTCTGAGAATCATGGGCTCGAAGAGAGCATGGTCTTTTGGCGGAGTCGCAACCAGCAGCTCGGTTCCTCTGTCTCGATCGAGTTGTCTCCCGCTTTGAGCTGCCCCTTCTAACTTCCTTCCTCTCCATCTCGTCTTTTTACTCGTCGCCCCTTCGTCTCTGTTCATCTCCCGTCTGCCGTCTCCTCAGATAATAGCAATGATGAATACTCTCTCACGAGCGAATTTCGTCGCGCGGCAAAAAAAGATATTCATTTGCTGCCGGGGCGGCCCCCGAATGGCTGACTGACTTGTTAACTGACTGACTTTCTTGTGAGTTGTTCTTGTGAGATGGGTTCTCTGCATGCGGCCACCCCGCACTCTTTCACCACCACAAATCGGCACTCCGCCGCTCACTTCCATCTATCCATCCGGCTGTGTATCTGTCAGTCAGTCAGTCCTCGCAGCCACCCATGCTGGTCGTGCCTTCAGTCGTGCTTTCCCGGGGAGTGCTTCTTCACAAATCACTTCGCTTTTCCTTCAAGTCACAGCTGGCAAGGAGAAGAGAACGGCGGGATGAGTGAGCAAGATTGCGAATGAGCCTCTATTGACGGCGGGGTGCATCGTTGTCACACACGCGATTGGCGGAGCACGTATCGCGCAAGGGGACGGGCAGCTGACGGAACGTCGGAGAAACCGAAGTCGAGAGGAACTCCGGCACGATCGTCATAGATTCGTTCTTGCGAGGGCCCCCGTCCGACAGAGCTGAACTTTCACACATCTCCTCTGATTCGACAGCACTCGCAGAATAGATATACTGAGCTTAGATTTTCGTAGGTCGAATGGGTCGACATGGACGATGGACACGTGGCCCGAGTCAAGAGCGCGCGAGAACTCTTCCGGTCGGTCCGTTCGTACCCGGAGCTCCCTTCGCACTCCGCGTACTCGAGCAGCCAGTTTGTCGCGTCTCGCAGCGCCTTCCTCAGTGCCTCCGATGATCACTCAGCCGCTGCGATTTCCAAGAGCCAGCAATAAGTAGTGGAAACAGGTCAGACATAGGCTGGGTAGCTTGCCCACTTGCGTCCAGTCTGCCGACGTTGGCGGTCGGACGGGCGGATGTCTCTCAACCACGAGCCGAAGCTGCGATCCGTCCTCACATTTCAACGAGCACACAGTGTCGTCCAGGTCATCGCTACTCATAAACGGAGTCACGGTCGGGGCGACGGGGGAAGGGAGTTCGCAGCAGCGGGAAAAAGCAAGAGGAATCCATAAACAAGAGAGACTATGCGCAAGAACAACAATGAGGAACCATCGGCGGAGCCTGTGGACCGTAAAAGCAGAAGCGTCACATAAGTCAAAAGCAAGCTTATTATAAGGTTACGATGCTGAAAGCTACGACGGGGAAGCGCCTGGCAGGAGAAAGTACCATCAGTCTTCATAAAGATCGCCTGGAAGACACGCTCGGTGTCGACGATGACCGTTGCCGCCGCCGCCGCCGCCATCATCAACTCCACCAGAGAGGGCTGGAAGAGGGTTCGGATATGATGCAGGGTGGAATAAGGGGAGGCAAACAGCGGGTCCTGCTAGAGGTTCCTGGCTGGATAGGAGCAAATAATGTTATACCTCTCGAAGGACCTATACGACGGAAAGCCAGGATGGGAGGCACGCAGGCAGACCGCCCTTGAGACGAAGCTATAACAGCACACCGGGTAACGAGTGAGCTGCCGGCATCATGGCGTTACTCAAGACTCCTCATGGCCGAGTCAAATTGCTCTCCACACCGCCAGCACAGGCCTGGAGTCCCGCTCAGCATTCTAGACGCTTCTCGCTCCGGCGACGCGACTGTGCTGCTGCCGCCATGCTGCCGTCGTCAAGGTACGAGAGAAGAAAAA